GATATGCGGACATGCTTATCATATACGATGCCTTTATTTATTAAATAATACATGTCCATATTGCTTTAAATTTTATGAAAAAAAAATTCACAAACTAACAAAATCTTATTTAGATCGATTGAAGTTTGGAATTAATGAGAATGAAATAATTGAACCTAATAATAATGAAGTCGAAGATGATAATGAAGTCGAAGATGATAATGGAGTCGAAGATGATAATGGAGTCGAAGATGATAATGAAATCGGAGATAATAATGATAATATTGGTCAAATTGAAATAGATAGTAATATAAGCAATCGCCTTGATGCAGCTTTACGCTTGTTTTAAATATTTATTTATTCCTAATGTTAAATTCGACACAAATGTCTTTTTCATATAAAATAATAAAAAATAAATATGTTTCGCTTTTTTTGCTTACAATCGGAACTAAAATTACAGTAGTACAAATACAAATACACGTAATCATAATCACTAATTTTGGTGACCATTTTTAAAATTTATTAGCCAATCATAACGAACTTCACCTATGCTTATTTTTGAATTCACGAATACGTCAATTTCTCGATGCGATAAAATTAAAAAATGATTCGGAGCATAGACAGCTACCTTAACATTATATTGGCCAGTAATTTTTCTAATAGAATTTTTGGTTTACATAGTGTAATCATATAATCATATATTACAGTGCTAATTTTTTTTAAAAAAAAAATGACTAAAAAAACAAAACAAAATCATCAAAATGGTTTAAATGATAACTAGATATAACAGGTGCGTTTTATTTATTTATTACACGGCTCCTAATTGTTCACCCATGACCTTTTTTACTGATATTTTCACGGACGATATTTTCACGGCTAATATTTTCACGGATTTTGTCCGCCGTGAAAATATCAACCGTGAGAATATCAATAAAAAAAAGTCATTAGTGAATAATTAGGATCCGTGTAATAAATCAGTTATTACACGTATTTGTCGCCGATGCCGATATCATTCATGCGCTGCAATACTGAATAATATCTCGATTGATAAATAACTATTACTTATTATTACATAAAAGAGTGATATATTATATGTAAAATTTTACAATATTCTTTGAAGCAGGTTATCATAGTAGAATTTTTGTTAGCTACGGTTTTTTATTACAGTATTATACAAAGATCTTTGCTATTTATTAGTTCCGATCAATAGGAGTGATCTGGATTTGCAAAACATAAATGCACCGTTTAGTTATATGACTCAATAATAATAAGTAATTTAAGTAATTTAAGTAATTTTTAGGTAATTTAATGAGAAACTTGTAGATCATATCTAGTGTTAACAGTATTACACTTTTAAAAATATGTATTACGTAAAAATTAACCAGTTACATACTTAGTTTTTTCATTCGAACAATGACATGTGTCAATTAATGATCGACATAAATATACTATCGTAAATTAATTACGACAAATAAAAAAATCAAAACATTTTTTTAATATAAGGAGACATACGAAAATTTTATCTTCAGTTTCAAATAATATCGATATTTTCTAACGATAATCGATATTTTCCATTTATTGACAATGTTTGTACAAAAATAGTAAAAGATTTGTTTGTGCTAAATTCGGAAAGTAAAAATAAATTAAGAAATCGGGGAAAAAACCAAGAAATTTATCGTGTCACAAAGTGTAATGTAACACTATTTAATCATACCGATTTTGGAAACAAATTTGAAATTAAGCGTAAAAAGAAATTTCCATAGATAAATATATATGTAATATATTAATAATACGTAAAATGTCTACATTCTTGGCGTTAAAGAACTTATTAAAAATAAAGCATCAAAATTTGTGGACGTTAAAGAAATTAAAGAAGTCGACAAAAGTTTAATCTAAAAACTTTATCTTTCACATATTCTTTTAGTATAAAGTATCTGAACCACGTGAATCAGGGTAAAAATATTAAAAAGTCAATTTTAAATACGTACGTACGTAAACTATCGATCGATATGTTACACTTATATGCATATTGATTAGCTAGAATAAAAGGTTGTAACATTGTACAAAGAATGATAATATTTTCTAAAGAATAAGTTAAAGTGATTGTTAATTCGAATGTGAATATACGTGCATTAGCGTTAATGAAATATGCATATGTTAATTAAATATGCAGGCAAGTATAAACGATGAACGTAATACGAGATTAATACATAAAACAATGTGGGGATAAAAGCTCAAGTGTTTTTTGTTTAAGGGAAAAAGAACAACACGTAGTGTCGGTAGTAATTAAAACTTGAGTATTATTGTTTTACAAATTATTTTAAAAATCAAGAACGATGCATGATTAAGTTCATGTTTCACAACAGTAAATGCGATACAGGAAATGCAAAATTCGAAATGAACAGTCTTAAAAATTTAAAGACAGATTTTTATTATACCTGGTTTTTCTTCAACGCATAGACAATAAAAGTAATAAATATACTTTGTACAAATCATCACTCAATATGGTGTATTAATCTATACGAACCTAATTTAGTAATTTTCAAATCACCTTATTTTGATAATGGAAGTACACAATTTGTTATACAAAGTTTTTTCAGAAAACAATCCTGCATTTATAGACCATTAAAATTTTCAAATTTGTGTGACACATGGACCTTTATAGTAAATTACAAATTTAAAGTTATACAGGGCTCAATGAAGCAACTGAAGTAACGTATTTAAGGATTAAAGTTCTTATTTTAATTTTTTAATTCGTTAATCCGATGCAAAGGGCACATAATTTCGGTATAATCTCGGATACCCCCCATAACATAGCCACACTAAAAAATTAGCTAAAAAGTATAATATGTATAACGAGTTATTTTAGCGTAAATTTCTTTGTTAATTGTATAACTTCGTTTTTCAGCCCGTTTGACCAGAAAGGAAACAATTAGATATTCATAAAACTTATCACTAAGATTTTTCACGTTTTACAAAGTTTATTTACCAAAACTTTGAATTTCAAATTCATTCCTTTTTTCATTCTATCCATACCATAAAAGTTAGAATTACTCTATTATTATTTAATAAAATCTCGGATAAAAAAAAAAAAAGGTACTCATACACAATATATTTTATCATGTGGTCATTACTCGTATTAATGTCGAATTAATTTACTCTAAACCTTTTTCCGGTTTACCTCATCTTATTTCAATTATTAATTATTCTCCGAATAGATACCAATTTTTTTTTTTTTTTATTCAAGAAAAATTATGTCAGAAAAAAACTTTACGCCAATATTTACCAATTTTAATGCTAACATTTCTTTGTCTAATAAATGATGTGAAATTACTATAAATTACTATAAATTACTATGTTATATAAACTATTCAAAAGACCAACGCGATATGGTAATCAAGTATTAATAAACAATTTATGTAACATTATCGCGTGTTTTTGATTTATAGAAACAAGCCATCTTAGATTTTTCTATAAAATAAAATAAAAAATTTCCAATTCGCTTTCTGAAGATACTTAATTTGGTTCAAAATTTATATAAATACGTTTCTTTAATTCCTTCGTTTATAGATTTAGTTAGATTTAGTAATAGATGTTATTTGGAGGTGTGACGAGATACTGTCCTATTCGCTTTGTGCTCTTGTAATACGATAAAAACATATAAATCTATCTATTACGTTCCTAACTTTGCTTTTTTTTTTCTTTTTATTACCTCCAATTCATCAAATTTATTTTGTCCATTAAATTTGTTGGAAGAAGGTCTTGAGAACCGTTCTACTTTTTATTTTATTTTATTTTTTTGTTGTTTTTTTTTTTTTAAAAAAAAAAAAAAGAATATAATAATAATTAATAACCACAATCATGACCGAAGAAATTAAAGATCATAGAGAAATTAAAGAACATGTTAGTAATATAAAAATTGAGGATGATTACGATAGAAGACGTCGTGAAGCTCTCGCAGAAATTGACAATGCTAAATTTGGATGGTTTCATATAAGGACATGCATTGTAGCGGGTGTGGGGTTCTTTGCTGATGCCTATGACATTTTTGCTATCAATCTTGTGGTAGTTATGTTAGCCTACGTATATTATGGTGCAAGTTCTCTCCCTCCTAATGTCGATTTAAGTTTAAAAGTTGCCACCCCTGTCGGAACTTTCGTCGGACAGCTCGGGTTTGGTTTGTTAGCTGACCTTGTAGGTCGTAAAAAGGTATGTATGTTACTATTTATTATTTAAAAAATTTTTTTTATTTTTAATTAATTAATTAATTAACTATTTTATAATTTATTTATCTATTTTCTTTTACTTTCAACAATTAATTATAAAAATTTTTAGATGTACGGTCTAGAATTGATTATTATCATCGTCTCTACATTGGCTTGTTGCATTGTATCGAACTCCTTTGTCTTCGATCCTACTACAAAAACTTTTGTCAACAACGCAAGCGTTCTCTCCGCTCAAGGCGTTATGGTTTTCTGGCGTGTTATTTTGGGTATCGGAATTGGTGGTGATTATCCTCTTTCAGCAGGTAAGTTTTTTATCTTATATTTTATTATTATTATTATTATTTAAATATATAATCTAATTTAACCTTTTTATAATAGTTATCGCTAGTGAATTCGCTACGACGAAACGTCGTGGTGCTATGATTTCTGCTGTCTTTGCTATGCAAGGAATCGGTATCTTAACCGCCGCCATCGTTTCAACTATTACTGTAGCAGCTTTCCAGAGTGTCATCACTCCAAATGATTATTCAAAAATTGATTATGTATGGAGAATTGTCACTGGCTGTGGTGCTATACCCGCCACTATTGCCCTTTTTTATCGACTTACTATTCCCGAGACTCCACGTTATACTATGGATATTGATCGTAGGGTTGATCAAGCCGCTATTGATATCACCACTGTATTAGAACATGGCAAATATAAACCTCGTGAGCAGGAATTCGTAGTTAAAGTTGATGCTCCTAAATTCGGTGTCTCTGACTTCTTTCAATATTTTGGTAAATGGGAAAATGGAAAAGTTTTATTTGGAACTGCTTTTTGTTGGTTCGCATTAGATGTGGCCTTTTATGGTATCGGCCTTAATAATAGTATTATCTTGAAAAACATTGGTTTTCTTGGAAATGGTAAAGATCCCTATGAAACTTTATTTAAAGCTTCTGTTGGTAATATTATTATCGCATTGTTGGGTACTGTACCTGGTTATTGGGTTACTGTATTTACTGTTGACTTTTGGGGAAGACGTCCTATACAACTTATGGGTTTTGGCCTTCTTACCGTTTTATTCGTTATCCTCGCTGCTGCATACACCCAACTCGTGGAGATTACTTGGCTTTTTATTATATTATTTACATTATCTCAAGTAAGTTATATTTAAATATTTTATATTTATGTATATTTTTTAAAATTTCTAAATTTTATTAATTACTTATTTACTATCATTATTATTTTTCTATTATTATTATTATTATTATTATTATTATTATTATTATTTTAGTTCTTCTTTAACTTTGGTCCTAACACTACTACTTTCGTTATTCCTGGTGAAATATTCCCAACTCGTTACCGTTCAACTGGTCATGGAATAAGTGCTGCTTCAGGCAAATTAGGTGCAATCGTTTCACAAGTTGGATTTGCCAAATTACAATATCTTGGTGTAAACATATTATTCGCAATCTTTTCTGCTTTTATGTTTGCTGGTTTTGTTGTCACTTACTTCTGCACACCTGAGACAAAGAATGTCACTTTAGAAGAGTTGTCAAATGAAGATCAAGAAGGCTTTGTTAAAGGTGTAAATAGACCTATTAATATCGATGCCAATAATACTAATCATAAGTAAATGACCTGTTTACCATAGACTTTGGACATTTATTTTATAGTATAAAAATTTTTTCATGTGCATCAAAATTTAAAACCTGTTCATGTATTTATATTCATCATCATATAACCCTATACACTCATTTTATCCCATCAAAATTATTATTATAATTCGATAAAAAAAAAAATTTATCAAATTTTTAAGTGCTTTTTTTTTTTTCTCTCTATAAGACATCGTTTGTATTATTAATTTTTTTAAAAATCTTATATTAATATTCTTCCCAATATGGTTTTAACATATACAAAACTAGTATTACACATTATGGGTAACTTTTATTACCCATTTTGTATAGTGTAAAATATACTATCTAATGTTATATTGATATTTTTTGGGGCACATGGTATAACAAATTAATTAGTACTTTTTTTATTATATATATATATATATATATTGTATGATTATGACTAAATGTCAATAAAATAAAGATTAAATATATTTTAATTATACTATCTTTTAGACCGTCAAATGTTCGCAAGCAAATTTACCTAATGAATATCTTAATCAAAAGTTACTTATATTAATGAAATAGAAATATTTTAGAACTTTTTTGAATTTAGCTTTAAAAAAGTTTTTTTTCTTAAATCAGTTCATAAGTTGAGTTTTATTTTATTTTTCTATATCGGGAAACGCCTAACAGTTCTAAAATAAAGTTACCTAGATTATATAATTTCTAAATATATTAGTAGTAAAACTCACAAATATGAGAACTAACATTTAAACATATTTTTACATTAATAATAATAATAATAATAATAAAATAATAATAATAATAATATTGTGTTTCCATAATTTATATTGAATTTAATATTGCCTAATTCTCAACGATAATTAGATCATAGGGTGAGCTTACTAATCATTCCGAATAAAACTCCGATGATTGACATTGGTTAATCTGATAATAAAACATATCTTTAAGATTATTAGGCACTTATCGTATATGATCTGATTTTAAAGATAGAATTATAGTCATTGATAAAAACATTATGACTTTCAGAAAGTTAACGTTAAAATCAGAACGGTTACTAACTATCACGTCATTTTTTTAACGCCAACGCACTTGCACTTTAAATTCCACGTGTACGTATGTACAGTACATACCAGGTACGTACGTGAGATTAGTAATATATACGTGATTTACATGCACTCCACTTTCAAAAATATATAATGGAAGGCAAGTTACTTGAATTTGAGAAACGTGAGACAAAAATTACACAGTAACAATGTGCTTTGCTTTAACCATCCATCTTAACTTAAAATAGATTATCGTAGATCTTTCAATCGCTTAAAGTTTTCACCGACAAGTACTACATAAAATGCAAATAAATAAAAATAAAAGTTACAACAATACACTATAACAATATATTATGCATAATAACAAAGAAACTATTCTAATTTATTTTAAGTTTGAGATTTAAACTCTAAATTACAAGTTTAAGTTCGAGGCTTTGATCTAACTTAAGCCATTAATATAATAGAAAAACGATGATTAATACTGTAATAAGTGAATAAAAAGTTTAAACGCAAAGTTAGGGCGTAGGGTAACGCCCAATACTAATGCTAAGAATGGAAATTTTGATAATGCTATAATTATCATTTTTGTGCCCCAAGACACGCACATTTTGTGTTCCGCGTACGTAATTACGTATTACACATATCTTCTTCAATCTGACCAATAAAAAAAACTTGGGATGATGAGTGGCTATGACTGTGAGAGAGATTTGCTACTCCGAATAATATTAGTATTACACATAGAAATCTGGGACATGTCATTTTGACACACATTTTCTTTGAAATTATTTTCATTTCACTTATTACAATTCGGATATTCGAATAATATTTTTAAAGAAATTAACCAAAGTTGGTTTTCATTTCGTCTAATAAATTAATAGCTTTACCATTTCCATTATTGGCTGCAAGATTTAAATATTTCAATCCAAGTTCTTCATTCTTTTGCGTTCCATGATTTCCATTATGATAAATATCTCCCAAATAAAACATTGCATCTGTATTTTTATTATCAGCTGATAGTCTTAAATAATGAATAATCTCATCACGCATTATTCCTTTTTTACTATCGGAATTTTCTTTAACAATGTCTTGAAGTAATAATAATGCATATTGAAGTTGTGCATTAGTATGGTCATTATCAGCTGCTTCTTTAAAAAGTTGTTTTGCCCGTTCTTTATCTTTTTTAACTCCATACCCATTAAGCAAATAAAACGCCTGCCAGTATTTTGCTAATAGATCACCAAGAGCCGAATTCTCCTCGAAACATTTCCATGCTTTGTCATAGTTTCTCTCGTTATGATATTCAATTCCTTTTTCAGTAGGCATTAAAAAATCTACTGTTTCAGGCTTTTCTTTAAACTCTTTTTTCGTTTTATTACCTAACTGTCCAGAAGAAGAGGTAATTGGATTGTTTGCAGCTAAGGTTTCAAGTTTTCGATGTAAATTTGAGAGGTCTATTCGTTGATCTGGATTATGTCGCCAAGCTATTTATTAAATAAACAGAAAATAAGTTAAAATTCTCGATAAATCTGTATTTAAATCTGTAATTATTATTGAAAAATTACCTTCATCAATTATCTCAATAAATTCTTTTTGAATTTTTTCATCAACAGGACTATTTAAATTTCCGATTAAAAGCTTTTCTCTTTTACCACTTAAAACATGTTCTGCTATATCTCTCATTTGCAAACTTTCATAAGGAATCTTTTCATAACAAAGTTCCCAAATAAGCATTCCGAAACTAATCGCGAAAATAATTGTTAAAATTATAATTTAAAAAGAATTTGATGAAATTAAACGATAAATACCTAAATATTTCACATTTAATTGTATATGAATTATTAGTAAAACTTTCATCAGTACGATTTTTAATTTTTTCAATTTGTTCAGGAGCCATCCACTGCATACCATCTATTACATCGTCTTGCTTATAAATAGCTTTGGCTTTCATTACTTTCGATAATCTGAAATTCCCAAGTTTTGAGCTCAGGGTTTGTGTTACCTACAATTTAAATAATACATTTAATAACTTGTTAAATAATTAAGTCTAATTTAATATACCTACAAAAACACTTTCACATCTAATATCGTGATGAAAAATATTTGCTCGACGTAAAAATACAATGCCGCAGCATATTTCACGAATAAATTGTAATTTTTTAATCCAAGGAATATCGTATTTACTATAAACCTCTTTCAAAGTTCCATATTCACACCATTCAAAGATCGTATGCTCAACGCCATTAATCTTTGAAAGTCCATAAAAGTCAAGAATATATTGTGATTGATTTAATTTTCCGAGAATTGATAAGTCACGTTCGATATCTTTAACGATATAATCATTAGCTGGTTTACATGCAACGTCATTTGCTCTGTAAACTTTTTTAAAGACACGACCACGAATGCCATCTTTCGTAGAAACGTTAGGCTCGCTCAATTCATTTGAATCGATCCTTTGCGCCTGGACATCTAAGCTTTTGGCTTTTATTAAAATATCTATATTTTGAGTTAATTCATCAATGTTATTATCGATATTTTCAGCTATACTATTGTCCAATTCCCTGAGAGTCTATCGATGATCCAAAAAAAAAAAAAGGTTTATATTACGGTAACAAATAAAATCAGGGCGAAATGAGTTTTCAAAGATTACACTTACTTTTTCGACTTCCATTAGAGCTTTATCAACACTTTTAGCGTCTGAAACTTTGTCATTTTCATTAATAATTGCCATAGTAAAATTCAGATCTTCCATACATTTAATGTATTCATCAGTCAATTTTTCATATCTATTTTTGACTTCAGTTTCATTAAGATATTTTTTATATCCTTTAAACGTTGATACTTTTTTAATGTAGTCTTTAATATTATTCAAAAGATTTTCAAAACTTTTGAAAGCTAAAAAATATTCCCTTTTACGAAAAGTACTCTCATTCTCTTTTGTACTTCTCATCTTTATATCCATAGCACATTCTGCAATTTTTAATCGATTTGTAATAACTAAACAAATTTCTTTATTACATTCCGCATTTTCGTAAACCAATGAAATTTCATTAATTAAATCTTTCGCACTTTTAACTAATGGAACATATTGTGCAAAGACTTCAGTTCCAGTGTTGGAAATTGTTTCATTCATATTTAAATTACAAAGATTACTGAACTGAACGAGAAAATTCCGATGCCTAATCAAACAGGTTTTAATGTCCGAAGGTTAGGTGTCACAACATACTATAACCGTGAAAGTTTGTAAATTATCGTTATTATTATGCAAAATTATGCAAGCTTTTAGCTTAAAATATACATATGTAAAATATTTAAAAATTTTAGCTGCCCGATACAAAAGCATCGCATTTTGTCCCGAATCAGTCACGGGGGTATATTAGGGTATCGTGTGATTTATCGATTGATTTATGTAAGTATGATTTTGTAGTCTCTTGCATTGTTATGATTTATTGTATGATCCGTTTGATCCATTTTTGATTTTGTGACGTAATGTCACAGTTTTATCGTTAGTTAGTATTTAAGGGAAATGGGGTTTTTTCCCAGGAAGGGTTAGTTCTGTTTTTTCTGCTAACCCGACTTTGTCTGGTTTTTTCATCCCCCTTGCCCACCCTAGCGAGCATTCTTTGGGGCTTGCCCTATCAAATCAATAGCCGTTGCTTTAGAAATCATGGCCTGTCAGGACGACAGTCATTTCGTGTTTTTTATACGACAGTCGTTTTAAGTTTTATGATAAGTGGCCTGTCAGGACGACAGTCAGTTTATTTTGATTTTGCATGGAAGTGGCCTGTCGAGACGACAGTACAGAAGATTTGGTTGCGACGGGGTTTTTTCTAGTAGGATTCTTGTTTTTTTTGCCTTGCCCGCCAAATATTACCTCTACAGTAGCATATGTAGTAGTCGAAGTCTGTATTGTTAGTATGTACACTTTTAGCACATAGCGGAAGGGACAGATAACCCATAATTGATTTCCAATTGATTTCCAATTGATTTCCGATTGATTTCCAATTGTTTTTCCATCTGTGGCACCCCTCAATGAGGGACAAAAAGTTTTGTACATACGTATGTGTGTTTCGCGTCACTTTTCAATTTAACGTACGTTACTTTGCAATCGACGAAATCGGTAAAAATTAAAAAATTACAAATTTAAATATGAAGGAAAAATCGAAAAAAAGATACTTTTACTCTGATCGCGTAAACACATTCACATATTCTTGTACATAAAGTATTCTTTCTTTGGCAAGAACAATTTTAATGTTAATTTTGTACAGTACAATGACAGCAATTAAGTCCCTTCTTTCTGGATGGCTTCTTTTTTTTTTGGTGAAAAAATGACATTTCGCCCAAAGAGTTGCCATATCCCTTTTGATATCAATTTCGTACAAAAGGACATTTAATTTCGTACAAAATGTCGTACAAAGTGACATTCAAATCTGTGTGTTGATTAAATCGTGATTTAATAATTCAATTTGGATGATTTGGTGCCATCCGAATCGTCTCATCGAGAGGATTTGAATGGTATAA